ACCTCCCTGATCCTGCTGACCACGCTGCTCCAGTTGATCACTAGTGGTTCCCATCCATCCTCCACTGGAATCACCCCAGGATGGTCCTTAGGGTCCCTTCCAACCCAAACTATCCCATAATTCCATAGGCTCCAAGGAGGGGAAGGGGCTTCTGCAGCCCCCAGTGCACCCACAGCACCCATACTCCCACCAGCTCCATCCATTCCTGATCCAGAATTTGGCAAAGGGTGGAATAGGGAGGAGACATGGAGTGGCTCAACACCCCTGGAGAATGCTCACGGCAGCATCTTTAACCTACACAGGCAGACAAGGTCATGCCTTGCCCCAAAATAAATCCAGGCACACAGACAGGGAAGCATCCAGCTTCTCCCAGCAGAGGGAAAGGGAAAACCAGGCCACATCAATGACCAGAGCCCCATCAATGACCAGAGCCCCATGGCACTACCACTGCCATTAGGGATTGGCCTCTTTGCACCTCGGGGTGACTTCCTTCCACAGACTCTGCAGCCCTGCATCAGCTCTCTGTGCTGCTTCCAGACCTTTTTAGCCTATTAAAAAATAAAGACCAAAAAACCCCAGCGGGGCTTTGCTCACATCCAAATTATCCTCGGCTGAAGAGGTTTGCAGAGGACTCGGCACATGGACAGCTCTGAGCAATGCCGAGGCGAAGGGACTGCAGATGACATATGCACCGGAGCTGCCTGTTCCCCACAGGGACCCCCCCCAAAGCACTGCTGCTCCCCAGAAACTAGGGTCTGCCCCCACCCTTGCTAAAGGCAGGAGCAGGACCTCGTTTGATGGCAACAATAAACCCAAACCCAGACTGTCACGCCGCTCTCCTTTCCCTGGCTTCATTCTCATGCTGCTGCTGTACCATATTGCTGTGGCTGACACAGGTCCTCTTCTTAGCTCTTCCCATGTGGTAGCTCCAGTGTTCCTGGGTTGTTGCAATTCCATTGCACATCATGCCTTATGCTTCAGTTCCTCTGTGACACCCCAGGGATCAGAAGACAGGGGAGTTGCAAGCACAAGGGATAATTCCAGCCATGTGCTTGAGGCTACTTTGGCAGGGGCAGGAGAGATCCTACAGGACTGACTTCACACATCTACTGTATTCACACACACACACATATATACTGGGCTCACCACCTTTTCCATTGCCATAAATCCCACCACACTGTATGCAGCATGGACTACAGGAAAATAAAGTCTGACACACTGCATCCCACCATATGCAGCATGGACTACAGGAAAATAAGGTCTGACATACTATACAGTCACACCAGCATGCCCAGGAGCTACCAGGGGTAGGATACCAACAGGAGGTCCTCAAAATGCACTCACATCTCATGCCACCTCCACCATCATGAAGTCCACAGTGATGAGCCATTCTTACTGCAGACTATCACCTACTGAAGGCCCCTGTGGTGTTATGCAGCATGGACTACAGGAAAATAAGGTCTGACATACTATACAGTCACACCAGCATGCCCAGGAGCTACCAGGGGTAGGATACCAACAGGAGGTCCTCAAAATGCACTCACATCTCATGCCACCTCCACCATCATGAAGTCCACAGTGATGAGCCATTCTTACTGCAGACTATCACCTACTGAAGGCCCCTGTGGTGTCTCTCCCATGAGCTTCCTGTCTTGACAGCATCTGCCGTGTGCTCTTTGGCCTTCAGCTTGCCTGAGCAGGGAGGTTTCATGGCTCCAGGCTGTAAAACAGAGAGACAACAGGCACAGTGCTCACCTGTGAGAGCTTGGCATGGCTGACAGAGCATGACCTGCTCTTCTCCCTCACCCCAGTACATGGCCCAAACCCATTGTTGCAGCTGCCTCCAGTTTCAGCAGTAGGATGCTGCCACGAGGCTGAGCAGCAGGGCCCCAGGACCTCCAGCCTCTTGGAATGGTCTGACTGACTCCATTTGGCCTCCCAATAGACAGAGCTGGTTGTTGTATAAAGTGCAGGAGCTGGGTATTGCCTGCTCCTGTCTGCTCACCTTGTGCCTCTTGGCTGCTCTCTGCAGCCTCTTCTGGTCCAGCTCAAGCTGTGTCCTCTCCAGTGCCTCTCGCAGCAGAGCCTTCTCTTCTGCTTCCCTGTGTGCTTCATCTTCCAGGCTGGAAATCTTCTCCTGGCACCTTTGCAGGGACTCTTGGTTCTGCCTGTAAAAAACAGGAGGGGGTATTCTGTTTTTCTGTTGCCCACATCATCCCCAACCCCCAGGTGGGCTCTCCCACACCTGCCTTGGTCCTTCCAATACCATCCCTCTGCCCTAACTGATGCCACTGCTGTCCTATGCTCCAGCCACCACAAGGCTTTCCCATCTCTGACACTGCTCAACCACATTGGGTCCCATGAGGTACCATTGCTGAGAAGTGCGAGAACCTTTCCTCATGTCTCCTAATTTTTCATTTTTACACCATGGCCACACCATGGCTGGTTCCAGAAAGATGCAAGGGGTTTCATCTCTCCTTCCCCCAAGCTCCCCATCACTTGGCACCCCAGGACCAGGTCTCACTCAGAACTGTGACCTTGCCTTTCTGTACCTGAGCTGCTCCATGCAGCCCTCATACTCTTTCAGCAGTTCTTCTTTCCTTTCCAGGCGATTCTGGAGGTTCCTGATCTTCTTGTACAGCAACTCCAATGCATTTTGTCTCTGCAGTCCTGCTTCTTCCCTCTCCTCCCAAGGAAGGTGCTGCACAGGCTGCAATCCCGACAGCTCCTTCATCTCCATCAGGCTTCCCAGAGCACCGATTACATCAAGGTACTGTGAGAAGAAGAGGGAATGCATTATTTACCAGGTCTGCTGCATTCTAGCACACTGCTCAGCCATCTGCTTTGCATCTGCTCTCTGAGGAGATGACAATGTCCCAAGGAAAATGGGGTTTTGTTCCATTCCCACCTGCACAACTTATTGGGATTGGATTGTTTCCTTTTCCAAGATGACCGTTTTCCCTGCTGGATGTTTTCTGTCCTTTTTGGAGGGAAGAGACCCCTTTGCCCAAACATATCCCTCCTCTGGTAGCCCTCTCCATTGCTCCCCAGCCTCTCTTGGCATCTATGCATCCAACTCTGTCCATTGCTCCCCAGCCTCTCTTGGCATCGATGTTGACGGAGGTCCCTATCCTCACCAACTCTGCCAGATCAGCAGATCAACCCTGACTGCTCCAGGGAACAGTCCAAAGGCCTTTGGTGGGAAGAGGAGGATGTTCCATAGCATGTTCTGGGGTCCTGAGATGTGCTGGCAGACACTCATAGCATGTTCTGGGGTCCTGAGATGTCCTGGCAGATACCTAATGTGCCCTGGGCCATAGAATGGCTTAGGTTGGAAGGGACCTTTAAAGGTCATCTAATCCAGTCCCTCTGCCATGGGCAGGGACTTCTCCAACTGAATCACAGAGCAGTTCGTCCTCAATGCTCCTGCAAGCCCAGGTGCCAGTCACCTACTTCTGAAATGTGTCCAAACCCCATCTAAACTCTACACACACTGAGCATGTACGTATGCGCTACACGTTTTCCCACATCTATCCCTGACGTACCATCTTCTCCCCGAGGTCTGTTGCCTCAGCTGACTCTGAGCCTGCTACCCTATTGATGATCCTGAGAGAGAGCCCAATAGGAACATGACCAGGAACCTGCAGAGGCAGGGAAAGACCGATGGAGTCTGCAGATTATCTGGCTTTGAGTGCTGGCCTCAAGCCTCCCTTCCACCTTGTGGGAAAACCATGACCCCAAGCTGCCCACCCAGCTCAGCCTGTGGCAACCCTGAGTGACACTACTCCAATGGCACCAGGCAATGTGCTGGTCCTGATGGAGCTTCCATCGTCTCTGCCCCTCACACCCTGCCAGGCTTTACACCTCCCCCTCTCCCCCTGGCTTCTTATCCCTGAAAGCCTACTTCTCCCTGTGCCAAGAAAGACTTTTCCAACAAAGCCACAAGCATCACAAACCACACTCAGCCTCCTTACCTTGCCAGCCTTCAATTTTGTTCCCACCATGGATGTTGGTTCCATCTCAAGACCAGTTTGCTGGATTATTTTCTCTGGCATATCTTTTGTCAGGATCACCGTTGGCTCCAAACTTTTCTTCATGGCAGCTGGAGGCAAGCAAACAACCACCAGGCTGTTCCAGTCTCCATATGACATGCTGTGGCTTCCCTACCTCAGCCACTTTGAGACTGGGCAGCTTTTCCCTGTGAGGTGCTGAGGCACTGGCACAGGTTGCCCAGAGAAGCTGTGGCTGTCCCATCCCTGGAAATGTTCCAGGCCAGGTTGGATAGGGCTTGGAGCAACCTGGACTGGTGGAAGGTGTCTCTGCCTATGGTGAGGGATTAGACCAAGATGGTCTTTAAGGCCTCTTCCAACCCAAACCATTCCATGATTCTAATCATTCCATGATTCTAGGAGAGCCCTGCTCACCTGAGCACTGCCTCTTCTCCAGCATCTTTACTCTCTCCCGGAGCTCAGCCAAACCTTCTTTTTGGCGTTGGATCGTTTCCTCATGCCTGAGGCCTCTGCATTTCGCACCGAGGTCAGCCAAGTCTGATGGCAGCTCCTGGAAAAAGTAACCCAGCTGGTTCTCACTCATCTGGCTCAGCATGAACTCCACTTGAACCTGGATTAAAAACACAGCCTGGCTGCCAGGCACTGGTCACTTGGCACATGCAAGAGCAAAGTCTGGGGAGCATCTGCATAGATTAATAAGAGCCTCATCAGAGATCCCTTCCCTGCTGCACTGTGCCATGGTGACGACATGAGCCCCACAAATGCTCCAGGGAGTCAGGACTGGGATAGTGCACAGCTCTGAACAACAACATTGGCATTTTTTTCTTGCCCTTTGCACTACCACAGAGCATTTTCCACCTATGCACAAACCCTGATACACTCTGTAGACTGTGTTCCTACACCATCTCGGCCATTATTAAGCAACACCTGTGCACACAGACAAATGCACTGCCCTTTCCCAGCCCTGTCCATAACCCTGCACTATGACAAACATCCAAAAACCCAGGATGGGGTTGGCATGGCACCCTGCTGCAGACCCCCAGCTCTGATCTGGCTGCTATCACCCCCCTGCTCTGTCCAGCAGGACACAGATTGCTCCTGTAAGGCACCTCCAGCACTTGGTGCTTTTCCTCCCCATCATGATATGTGGAACAGGATGGGTGAATCCTCCCACCCGCTCATCAGCTGGCTGTGAGTCACTGCCCAGCACTGCTGGCTGCCACTTTTGCTGTACAGAATGTACAATTCCTGCAGTCCCTCCATCTGCTGCTGCCACCACCTGTGAGTTCTTCCCTTTTCCAGCCTTGGGGAAATCAAATAGCAATTTGGCACAGGAGAATGGAAGTGGGTTTTTTTCCCCATCCTGTGCAACAAGCTACCCCAGTTCCTGCCTGTACAACCCTAGAACTGCTTCTGCATCACCTGTACAGCCAGAATCCATAGCTTCACCAGCTGGGAAAAGGAGAGAGAGCTGCATGTTGCTATCCCCTCTAATTGCCAATTAACACAGCCATTAGCACACACAACAGTTGGCGGTTCCAAAGCTCTGTGCAAACAGCAGCTCATTATCCAGCAGTGAGCCTCTGTGGGGGCTGTGTTGGCTCAGGGGTTGTGGCTCCTAGTCATCCTGCCCTCCAGCCATCCTGCCCTTAGGCCAGAGTGGAGCAGCAAAAGGCTTGACCAGGTGTCACCAGGTCTCACCGTGATGCTGAGAAACACCACGTGCCACCAATGCTCTTGGCAAACCCACATGTCTGTGGCCTCCGTGGGGACTTACCCTCTGTGAGGCTTCACCCACCTCCACTGGTGTCCTGGGAGTATTCTCTGGCTTTTCCACTGTTTGTTGGGAGGCATCTCTCAGCACCTGGCAGTGGGCTTGGGCTTGTCTGTGCCAAGAGATAAGACCTTATGGGACCCCAAGAGAGATGAAAGTGACCTGAACAGCTTGGGCACCCACTGATGACTACCACGGTGTGGGTGGGAACACTCACTTAGTTACAAGTGACTTAGTTACACATCCACTGGCACAAACTCCACTAAACCCCTGGTTTGGTTCCCGTGGCACTGCCACAGAGCTGAGCTCCATCCTGATGCTCTCACATGTGCTATTTGCTCTGGGAAGAGCCCTAAAAACCATCAGCTGCTGGAGACCTGGCATTGGTGAAGCCTCAGGTCAGAGCAGTGTGTACCTTAACTGTTCAGCTGCTGCTTTCAGGGCTCGATCCTTCTCCTCCACGAGGCAGGACATCTGGGATAACTTCTCCCTGAGCTGGTTTACTTCCCTCTCCTGGTGCTTCAGCCAGCACTGGTTCTGCTCCAGCTTCACCTTCTGCTCCTCACTGAGCTCCCCTAGGCACAAAACAGCCTCGTGGGATGCTGATTGCCTCATCTCCCAGTCCTGGGGGATTTGCAGCTGGTGTTCAAAGATACATCCCCTTTTCCCTCATGGAAAATGGCAACAACAATAGGGTTTGTCCCTGCAGAGCCCTACCCTGCCCTTGACAGCTGCCCTCAGATCCTGGGCCATGCCAACAGGACATCCTGGTTTAATAATCCCAGTCTCTGTGTGGGCATATGCCAGGGCATTTCCTTGCTCAGCAATTTTCCTTCAGATTGGAGAACAGGTCACCAGCATTTTCTGACTTGCAGCCTTTGACCTCCCCACATTCCTCATAGATTCTGTCACCCTGCCCATGGAGGAATTCCAGGCAAGGCTCTCCCAGTCCACTGGTTTAGGATACCTTCAGCTCCAAGGATCTCACCAATGGGATTTTTGAGAAAGATGGTCTCACTTTTGTCCACCTGATCTTCCTTTGTTTACCCTCCTTGCTCACCATCACTGCTATTGCTTAGCCAAGGACAGGAAGGAATTCACCTCCTCTAATGGCCCACCTGCTTTGCTCCCAGCAGGACAAGAGCATTTCTGAGGATGGTGACACCAATTTCCCATGACCTGTGTGTGCTCACTACACTGTCACTGCTCGGAGGAGAGCTGAGATGATTGCAGCCACACAATGCACATCACCCACCTCTCAAGTCTGACATTCTGGCTCTGGTTTCTGACAGCTCCCTGGTGAGTCTCTGGATGACAACCTCCTTGTCCAGAAGCATTTTCTGTGCCATTGCCAGCTCCTCCTGCAGTTTCCTGGGGAAGATCAGTGCAAATGTCACAGCTCATTGGGAAGTGTCATTTCACAGAGCCTGCACACACCTTCCTGTGCTACATCTCCTGATTAACATGCACATCTTGCTTTTTACCTGCATTTTGGTCCCCTGGGATCACCTTGTGGCATGAGGCTGGTCACTTTGCTCACTTTTACCTGGTGCCATCAGGATGGGATGGCAGATCCTCACATGCTGCTTGGCATCACTTTGATGCTCTATGCTCTTAGGACAACCTTAGCCTAGCAAAGGAACTAAAGAGTCCCATCCTAGACTAAAAAGATCTCAGGACAAGTTGCTTTGGTCTTCCTTAGGCTCTCCCAGTGGTTCATGCTCTTCTCAGACCCAGATCACCATCAGCAAGCTCAGCTCACCTCAGAAAAACTTGTGACTCCATGGCAGGACAAACCTCCTGCCAAGCTCCCAATGCCAACCTGGGGGCACCACGCTGAAATGCTACAGGGCAAAAGAAAAAAAGGCCAATCACTCCTCTGTAACAATTACATACTTGTCCTGCTGCTTCTGCTCCATAGGGACACCTTCCACTAGACCAGGTGGGGCCCATCCAGCCCAACCCTACTCCTTCTCCATACACATTCCATGTTAACACAGCAGATTCCTGGGACAGGCATAGCCCACACAACCCTTACCAACCTTCCATTTTTTCCACAAGTGCTGCCTTATCCTCCTCCAGCATCTTCTGCTGCTGAGTGGCCTCCTGCAGCCTCTCCTCTAAAGCCATGATGGTCAGGGAATGCTGTTTGCTTTGCTCCCTGTATCCTGCCACTTCTTCCTGCAGTTTCTGCCTCTGAAACTCGTTCTCCTCCTGGATAGCCTTGACCTGCTCATTCTGTGTGAGGACCTGCTGCTGTAACACCTCCTGGGAAACAAGATATGGGAATCAGTTGGAAGCACTGGTGGTTTCCTTTGGGATCAATGATCAGCATCATCTCTCTTGACAGCTGGAAGGACATAGGGAAGGGAAGGATTTCAGGGATGGGGAAGCCTTCTTCACCATCACTACATCCTCCACCTGCACACAGGAGCTGGTGGAAGTACCTGTCTCACAGTGCTTTCCTCCAGCTTATACAAAGCTTCTCTCAGTTTGCTCTCTGTCACCTCCTGCTCCTCTGTCTTCCTTGCTGTTGCCTACATGAGAAAATTAGCAGTAATTCAGTTAGCCAGGAATCCTCTTTTCTCCCTGCAGATATGAATCTGTGTGTTTTGGGGATAACCCTCACTCCACTGATTTAGGCTCTTGGAGCATCACACTACAGTGCACTTTCCCACTGCTTCATTCCAAGAATGAACTGTTCTGCTTCACCTTCCCTTCTCACCTCAGCTATGCTTCTCAGGTGGCTTTCCAGCTCTTGGATCTTCTTCTGTTCTTCCTCCATGGATTTCTTGCACTTGATCTTCTCCTCAGCAACAGCACTCTCCAGAATCTGAGAATCAACAGCCCATGGATTAATTCAGGAAAAAACATACCATTAGGCAAAAGACATCAGCTCCAAAGAAGTAAAGCAGCCAGGAGGGTCACTGCTCTGGAGCAGGGGAGGTATCCTCTTGGGATCCCTTTGGACACCTGGGAATGCACCCAGACAGTTTGGAGCTAAAGATTCCTCCTTTCATTAGCCAACACTCTTATAGACACCCATTTTTCCTGCATAACATTCCTTTTCCAAACCACCAACCATACCACCATACCTCTTTGTTCTCCTTGTCCTTTTCCAAGATAATTTGCTGGATTTTTATCTCTATGTCTTGCTCATGTTTTGCTTCCAGCTCCTTTGTGTGCTCCTGCAGCAACTCTGCCTGTGACTCCTGAAGTCTCTCTAATTGCTCCTACAGGGAGACACCAAGGTGTTAAAGGAAGCAGCAGGGCAAGAAATAAACCTTTTGTGAACATCCACTCACAAACAATTCACAAAAGAAGTGTCCCCTCCAGCCTTGCTGCATTAGGGAGATGGATATGCTGACAGCAGGTTCCATCTCCCTTCCCTTGCATTTCCTGCAGACCTTGGCTATTGCACATCCCCAATCCAGGTCCCACACTGCCTCACTTGGGATTACCAACCTGTTTACCCATAGAAAGATCCCAAATCCATGTGGTTTATGTACATAAATATTTCTGTACCTGCAACATCTGATTCCTCTGTGCCATTTCCTGACTCTTTTCCAACAAGCTCGTGAAAGCAGACAACAGCCCTGCCAAAGGCAACAGAGCCTCATTGTGTGGGGTGCTCATACACCTGATATTAGAGATATTAAGGAAAATTTCTTCCTGAAAAGGGTGGTCAGGCATTGATTGGAACAGGCTGCTCAGAGCAGTGGCTGAATCACCATTCCTGGAAGTGTTCAAAAGGTGTGTGGATGTGGCACTTGGGGATGTGGTTTAGTGCTGAATGTGCTGCATTAATGGTTGGCCTCAATGACCTTGGAGGTATTTTCCAGCCTCAAAAATTCTGTGATTCTGTGATTCTCTCCCCAAGCAGTGGCTCACACTGGATTTTTCTCCATTACATCTGTCTAGCTAGGCTATGAGATTGTTCCCAGGGACACCCAGCAGGACACAAACCTTTGCTGGAGGTGTGCAGGTCCATCCCTGCACTGGCCAGGAGCTGCTCCACACCCTCCAGCCAGCACAGAGGTACATGTGCCACTTCCACCACTGCTGCCTTGATGGTTGAGATGGATTGGTCCAGGCACATTGCCTCCAGCTGCCCCAGCTCCTCTCTCAGGTTGGTGCTGCTACAGGAGCTCCTCAGGCAAGTCTGGAAAAAACAGAACTGGTGGGAAACCAGCCAATCTCCACAGTCAGTGGCTTTCAGCGACTTGGCAAATGACACAACCTCTCTAAACATCTCAGGCCAGGCTGGACAGGGCTTGGAGCAACCTGGTCTAGTGAAAGGTGTCCCAGTTCATGGCAGGGAGTGGAATGAGATGAGCATTAAGGTCCCTTCCAACCCAACTCACTCTATGACAAGCTCCTGGATCTCTGGGATGACACTTTGCTTCAGGCATTGTATCTTTGCTCTGTCCAACAAAACCAACTCCAACACCTTTACCTGGACCAACTCAGGCCACCAAAACACCCTGTGCTGCTGTCTCCCAGCTGCCACTTTGTCCTCAGGACTGACCTGAAGCTTCTGCAGGGAGTTCTTGAACACCTCGATGTTTGCAGACACCTCCTTCTCCTTCTTGATCCTGGAGCTTAGCTCCTCCTGCAGACACTTCTCCCTCTTGCAACTTTGTTGGTTCTCATCAGAGATCTGCCTGACCTTCTCTATCACCTGGCAAAAGCAGGCAAAGAAAGAGGAGGAGAAGGCACTGACTCTCAGTGCCCCACAGACCCTTTTCCAACTGAGGGACCACAGATGGTCTCAAGCAAACAATGACTGAGACTTGCTGCAAACTGGTAGCTATGTCAGGCTCCTTCCTGCTGCAGCCCACTGACTCCAGCTTTGGGAGACAAAAAGGACTGTGTCTCCTTCACATCATGGAGAAGTGACATTAAACTGGTATGACTCCTCCTTTGGAGAAGCTTGGATGCTACCAACCCTAGTGCACCTAGTGCAGCCATTCCCCAAGGGCTGCCTTAAGCCACTCTGGATGTTGGAGCATCGACATGAATTTGCCTTAAGCCACTCTGGATGTTGGAGGCACTGAGCATCGACATGAACTGCTATTCAACTCACCTGCTGCTCTGTTATGGATTTCCCTGTGCTGCCTGCTGCTGTTGGAGAACACACTTGCATCACTTGGATCTTGAAGGACTCCAGCTGCAGCAGGGATTGACACAGGAAAACAAACATCACTGAGAATTGATTGATCATTGATATTCAGCATGATATTATCAGCAAAGGGCTGTCCCTATGCAGAGCAGCATTACCCAGGGAGGGAGGAGAGTTTACATGAGTTCCAGACAGCGTAACTAAGATTATAGAGTGCATTTCTGTATCCTATTAAACTGCTCCATCTTCTACACTGCTTACACAAATCCTGGGGATAAGCCTATTTTTCTGCACCCGCCGACAAGTCAAGTCCCATGCTAGGGTTTGGTGCTCAGGACTCTGCATTTCTGTTCCAGCACCACGTTCTTCAGCATGGGAAGTCACATCCTTGTGCTGCCCATGGCCACAAAGGTGATGTTGCCATCCCTGCTGCTCCCTACCTGCTGCCCAGCTCGTTGTATGTCGGCTCGCAGCAGACGCTCCCTGCGCCCCATCTCCCTCAGCTGCTCAGCCTGCAGGGGAAAGCCTGAGGAAAAGTTGCACCCAATTAGCAGAAATGTAATTATTTTTTACCAACTTTGTGCTTTATAGCAAATGCTGGAAATGAACAAACACCAGAGAACTTTCTTTTGCCTAGGCAACAAGTGAGTCCCCAACATCCTTCACTACGTTCAGTTCCCTGCTTCTCTTCCCTTCAAACCCCACTGGGTTTTGGAAATGGATATCAAGGACATAAGCACCATCCTTTGCCTTTGCTTTTCCCATTACCTGGAGAAAGTGACTCTGTGGGATTTGGCTTGGGATTAGTGCAGAGATAAAGATAGGGGCCCAAATGGGTGGGTAGATGTCACCTTGCCCTTTCTATAGATGGAAGCACCCGTGGGAAGAATATGGATCTGCTTCTCCTAGAAAACTTCTGATCCATCCCTTCAGCAGCAGTTCCTTTTGAGAGAGAGCTCTAGGCCTCCTGTTGCTGTTGATTTCATGAAGTAACTGCCATGGAGCTTAAAAAACCCCAATCCAACCTCCCCTCCTATGGAATACACAAAGCTCTGATCTCCAGTAATCCAAAGCTGTTATGTAGACATGGGCTAAGGTGCATCTGGAAGCTGCTGCTCTGTGGCCTGCAATGCCTGGAAGGTGGAAATTGTCCTTGCTTTAGTGGTTCAGGAGATAGTGCATCAAGGGTTCTTAGAGTTGGCCTTGGTCAGCTTATTTCTGAAGGGATTGGTGCTGGAGAGGAATATTTTGCTTTGGTAGCTTTACTATGCAGAAGAAAATGAAGCCCTCAAAACATTCCTAGTAGGAGAAAACTCCTCGTTCTGCTGGTTGATGACAAGTTGTTTTAGCCACTCTTTTTGTTAGCTACGTTGTGATGTAAGGAAGATGCTTTAACTCCATGGTGGAAAAGAAGCTCAGTGGATATGAACATCCTCCTTGAAATGCATCTTCAGTAGTAACCTGTCTGTTCAGGTTTTTCGTTGTGTTTTTCACTTTGAGCTGAGTCACAAGTGATTAACCTCAGAAGCACAGTCCCTGGCTCGATGGCAGGTTCCACTCTGCCCACAGCAAGGCAGCTGGGCTGCTCAAATGGCACAAAACAAAGCATGGAAGAACAGCTTTGATTCATGAAATGACCTGCTCCCCTCCATGAGAGATGAGGCTCCTGCTTAAGCTGCTTTGACACCCAAAAATCCTTGAAACATCACAGCTTTCCCCATCCTTTTCAGAGCCCCAATGGATGTGTATGTATATATATTTACTTACTAAAAGAACCCTATCTGGCTTTGCTGAACCTGATCCAGCATTTCCTTAACTCTTGGGATTTGCTCTTGCTCAGTTCTGGAAAAGGCTGGATTTGCAGTGGGTGCAGCATAATGCTCAACTCTGTATGAACTCAGAGCTAAAAGCATCATCAATTCCATTTGCTATGGATGAAGCAACTTAGATATATCTGGAAAATGAGAGAAGGAGGAATGGGGGAAAAAACAAATCAATGTTTCATGCCACATCTTTCAATGCAGCAATCTCCTAGCTCTCTTTATTCCTGTCTTCCTTGGTGTTAAACTTGGTGTTTTGTGCTGTAGGACTGAGAATGCTCTGCCTCATCAGGCTGCACAGAGTGTACTGTCACTTGCTTTGGTCTCACAATGATGTTGGAGGTCACATTAGTCATTTTATGTCAGTGATGTGCAGTTCATTTGGAGAAGGGGGAAAATACACAGAGTTCTGTTAGAAACAATAATAAATCCATCATAACTGTCTTAACTTCATTTACAGTTTAAATGAGAGTGTCAGGAGCTCTTAAAGCTTTCTCAGAATCAGTTCCAGACAGCACTGACCAGAGATTGTGTGTAAAGCATCACAGAATAGCTTCTCCTTTGGCATTTATTTCCTCTTCTCTTTAGCCCTTGCTCCATTCTTCTGATTCTTGTAGCACATCAAAGTCTTTCTCCTGTCCCTTCTTGATATGTGGGTTAATATTTTCTTCCTAACGTTATCAAACCTTATGTGGCTGAAACAATTCAGGCTCCAAGATCCATGTGGTTGCACTGCAAGATTTTGCATGCTTAACATAGCGGTTTTTTTCCTTAGAAAAGTGCACAGCTATGGAAAACACCTAGTGCCCTTCACTGTTAGACCCTGTTGTTGCATTGAGGAAGCCTTAAAGTTGTAGCAGCACCAAACTTTGTTCTAGGCTGCAGTGATGTGATAATAGATGGAGAATGAGAGGTACCCAACATCACTCCTTGGATTCTCTCTTGCAGGGAGAGAGAGCTCAGCTTTGCTCTGGTGGCTGCTGCATGAATTTACCTTTGGAATGGGGAAGTTGCTCACAAGGAGTTGCTTGATGCTCCCCCCAAGCTGCTGTGTGTCTGGGAGGGTTTGTTCCGTGAGCTCTTGGAGTCTCCTGGAAATGGGAGAGGCAGGAATGGCTGGACACGGTGTTGGTGTGTTCTGTTTGCTGTTCCCTGCTCAGGCTGGAATGTTAGGGTGGTTATGAATAAAGGGAAAAAAGATTAATAAAGGAAAAGCTGTTGTAAAGGAGGATTCCTGGTGAGTAATCAGATTAGCATATGCACTCAAACATAAAGCCAGATATAAATCCCATCCTGGTTTATTTTTTTTCCCTTCCATTTTCCCTGGTGGTACCATTGAGGAGGAAATCTCAGGGGTCTGAGACTGGGACAGATATCTGAGGGAGTTTGGGGAAATATTTGAACTTGTTATGCCCCTTACACACTGGAAGTTTGGGCTGGGCAGCTCCAGCAAAAAGGTCTTTGTGTGGGTTTGCTCCTGACCTCGACTGGAAATGGCACAGGAACAGCTGCCCCTCACCCTCACATATTTTGGCACTTCCTGTCCTTGTCCCTGCTGGAAGCTGGAAGAAAAAGTGTCTGATTTTAGTTGTGAAATTTGGTTGTAGGAGGGATTAAAACGAGCTGGGATCTCTCCAGGTTATGCAGGCTGTGCTGGGCACAGGATGACTTCAGCTCCTCCTCCACCTGCAACAATGAGAGCACTGGGATCTCAGAGTGACACTTGAAAACCACACCATGGGCACTTTGACCCCAAGTAGCCACTGTTCCCATCAGACAACTCCAAACCTAGCTTTGGAATACCAGGAGACAGGCAGGCATCCTTCACACCACTTTTTGCCTGGGTTTGGTCCTGGGACATTGTCCATCTTTGACTTTCTCTCCCATTGCTTGCACAGGGCACTCTGCTACCAGAGTTATTTCTTCTCTTGGCATCCATGGCAGAGCTCAGGACATTTGGACCCCCTTCTTGTGCAGCCTGTGCTCCCAGGGATTGCTGGAACTCTTCCCACCCATCTGGGATGATGGGACCTGCCATGGGCTCACCAGGGCACACCTGCCCTCTGTGTGTCCCCCACAACCAGCTGCTTACCTTGGCTTTCTCAGCCAGCTGCTTCTGGCCACTCTGCTGCTCTGCACAATGCTTCTGGATCTCCCTCTGCAGCCCCTCCAGGTCCTGCTCCAGCTCCCTGATGCGCTGCAAGAGCCCAGGCATGGTGCTGGTCTCACCAGACAAGCTGGGCATTGCCTCTCTGGGTGACTTCCACTGCTAAGCAAGTTTTCCCCATCTAACCCACTTTGTTTACCCTGGCATTCCCTTCTAACCTGTATTTACTGTGGTTCTATCAGCTTAGGAGTAGAATTCCAATCTGATTTCTGCTCACATCCCCCTGCGTTGTAACAACCCTTACAAATCCCACACAAGTTTACGCTTCCCTGGGTGGTTATGCCCATTATGTGCCTTCCAGGACAGGAGCTGAATTCCAAACAACTCCCTTACAATGCCCAGT